AGAGAAGAGTGAAAAAGTTGACTTAAAACTCAACATTCAGAAAACCAAGATCATGGCATCTGGTCCCATCACTTCATGGCAAATAGATGGGGAAACAATGCTAACAGTGACAGACTTTATTTTCTTGGGCTTCAAAATCACTGCAGATGGTGACTGCAGTCATGAAATTAAAAGACACTTGCTCCTTGGAAGAAAAGTTATGACCAACCTAGACAACATATTAAAAAGCAGAGACATTACTTTGCTGACAAAGGTCTGTCTAGTCAAAGCTATGATTTTTCCAGTAGTTATCAATGGATGTGAAAGTTGGACCATAAACAAAGCTGAGTGCCAAAGAATTGGTGCTTTTGACCTGTGTTGTTGGAGAAGACTCTTAAGATTCCCTTGGACTGCGAGGAGATCCAACCAATGAATCCTAAAGGAAATCAATCCTGAATATTCATGGAAGAACTGATGCTGAAACTGACGCTCCAATACTTTGGCCCCCTGATGCAAAGGCCTGACTCATTGGAAAAGACCCTGATACCGGGAAAGATTGAAGGCAGGAGGAAAAGGGGATGACAGAGGATGAGATGGTTGGACGGCAATACCGACTCAATGTATGTGAGTTTGAGCAAGCTCTAGGAGTTGGTAATGGACAGGGAGGCCTGCTGTCCTACAGCCCATGGGGTCACAAAGAGTTGGACATGTCTGAGTGACTGAACTAAACTTATTATCACCATTTTACAGATGATAAGACTGAGGCACAAACAGGTTTAGTAATAGGTACAAGGCGACACATCTAGTAAGTTAAGCACCAGTAGAGTATGAAGAGATGGCATTGGTCAGAGAAGTCTCCTATTTTATCTTGGTTTTCTTGATGATCACACTACCTTGTGCGTTCTTTGGCCAAAATGTAAAATTTTACAAATGAAGACTCAACTGCTGTCTAATGTAATCATAGAATCACACTACATTTTACAAGGTTCATGAATGTAATTTTGTCACAGTTGCAACTCAAGATTACAAAATCCTGTGGATATGTACACACACGGACTAGATTTTTCAAAGACAAACAAATCCAAATTTCTACCATGTCACACCTGAAAATGTATGTGGCAGATTTGAGAATCTTCAAAAAATATCTACTACTAAAAGTTATTGAGTATGATCGAAACACAAAAGTTTATGAAAAGGCTGTCCAGTCGTGGTATTTGCTATAATTAGCTCATCTCTTCTGTTACCTATTAGTTTAAATTTTATACTAGCACGATGCAGGGCACATGGTAAACACTGAATAAATAATAGCTTCTTACCTTCCAAAAGAAGCCATATTGGTACTATAAGAGTCACTGATAATGATTAACAGGCTTCTTGGAAAATAGAATGCTGTCCAGTTTAGAATATACCACTGGAGCAGTTTGTGAAAATGACATTATCCTGGGAGAATTTTCATTTGCAGTGTTACAGAAACAGATAAAAGAAAACCAAATATATTTTCTGAGAAAATGTTCCAATTTTAAGGACAAAATGAAACTGTTGAAAACCAGGGGTGCGTCATGAGGCTATCAGTAATGAGAGGAGAGAACATTTCAACATTGTTTTCATTTTGCAAAATCATATATCAGAGAAAAGTAGTTTGAATTGTCTGTCTTGTTTTCAATTTTTCCAAAATATACTCAGACAAAATAGTTTGAATTGGCTATCTTGTTTTTCGATTTTGTTTCAGATTTATTTCTGATTATAGCCTTTTTTTGAATTTAGATGCTTTCTCTTTGGGGGAATGAATAGCATTATGCTTAATCTTCTCTTGCCTATCTAAAATGAATGCTGCAGACTTTCAGGGTGATAAATTATTTTTCTCATGGCACCCTTCTCATTTTCTCCCAGGCTGTTCTGAGCCTCTGGGGATGAAATCAGGACATATACAAGACTATCAGATCACTGCCTCCAGCATCTTCAGAACTCTCAATATGGACATGTTCACTTGGGAACCAAGAAAAGCCCGGCTGGACAAGCAGGGCAAAGTGAATGCCTGGACCTCCGGCCACAATGACCAATCACAGTGGCTACAGGTAATATTTTCTAAAAATGTCTCACAACCCACTGTCATTCTTCCTTATAAGATTTCCTGTTGGTTAGGTGACTGTCGGAGTCATTACCTTCATGCTAATTTAAATGTGTCTTCCTGTTTGGCTTAACTAAATGGGTAAAACAAAAATTCCTTATGAATCCATTTTCATGTGTTGTTTTTACTCTCATGTTGATTTATAGATGCTACTGTCAGATTGAGGCAGCAGAGTGAACCAAATCTCACTATGTGTATAGGTCAATTCAATTGATTATGTGATCATTTGCATTTTAACTCTCATCTCTTCTAATGCTCTGTGTCAATATTGGTTTGAAAGCATCACAGCAGAAATTCAAACCACCTTGAAATCATGCCACTGACCCGCAGATTGTTCCCATAGAATCATGACTCATGGATTATTAGCCCTTTACCTGTGGTTGCTAAGCAATGGAGTGATTTGATTACATTCTCATAAGAGTGCTTGCTTATAGAAGGAAAGCATAGACATTGCAAAGTGTGTTTATCATTTGCAAATGAGGTAAGGTTACAGTCAGTGCTTTTTAAAACAACCTTCTTGAAATGCACTTATTTGTGGAGTACTTTTAAGTAGGGACAAATTTGTTAATGTCTTCTGTGGCAAAGAAAAGTGAGACAGCTTAATTCCATCATAAGCTCATTTTATTTGAGAAAGATGAGTTCTCCTCTTACTGATTTTTATGCTGCATTTATGAGTTTCAAAGTTGTAGTAATTCATTGTATTTCTGGAAATAACAAAAACAATTACAATAGCAAATCTCACCCCTCATCAAACCAAATTTGCACATACAAAATTCTTACCAAGTCATCTGAAATTTCTAATAGTCTCTTCTTTCTTGATCTTACTTTTCCCTATTCTTACCTTTTCACTATTCTTATTTTTTTTCTTTACTGTCCTGTGACATTCTGTCTGGATCTTTATTGATCTGAAGCTTTATTAAGGTCTCACATTACCATATACTGTACATAATTATGTATGTCTTTCTCCTTTTACTATTCTTTGAGCTTTTTGAAGGTAGGTTTTATATACATACATAAAACAGTCAATATTTATCACCCCACAGCCCAGTCTTATGTCCTTGTGTATAAGTAGCAGTACTACTAAATGAAATAATTCACTTGATAAATGTTTGTGATGCACCTGTGAAGCATCACATAGCATGATAAATAGTGATGGCACAGAAGCAAGCAACACAGTTTGTATTCCTAAGACATCACCTGTTTCATAAACCATAATTCTTATTTGGTTTGGATGACACCACACTTTGTTTATCTTCATCCTTTTAGCTGATACTTCCACTGTCCTTCTCCAGGCCACCCTTCCAGGTTTGTTATCTTCCTAACAACTTCACTCTCACCAACTCCATACACTCAGCTTAACTAATTTAGTAAGAACTGGTTATTTCAACTACTGGAATGGATTCAACTGCTTCAACATTCTATTACTTCTCACCATCCCCACTGCCACTTCCAAGATCTAGGCTACTGCCCTCTTTCACCCAGGTTTTTGCAGAAGCCTCCTAACCAGCCTTCTGGCTTCTGGCCTTACTCTCTAAAAACCTATTTCCAAGATTGCCATCTGTGTGAATTTTTTCTGAAGTGTAGATGTGGTTCTTTTACTCCTTTTTAAAATCCTTCAGTTGCTCCCTCTCAGCCACAGAATAAAGGACAGCTCCCTTAAGATAGCCTAAAAATCTGTTTGTGATTTGGCCTCAGTTCATCTCTCAACACCCTTCTAAATTTGCTTCAGTTTCTCAAACTAAACAACACTATCTCTCTCTTCTCCATCTTTTATAAATATCCTCTTCCTGGAGAAAAAGAATGGAAAGAGCACCTCTGCCCACAGTATCTCAGCCCTCTGTTGGTTAAATACTTCAACTGGAGTTTCGATGCGCTTTTCTCTGGGAAGGCTTTGCTGCCAGCTCCATCCCATACCACATCTGGCTTAAATTGTCTCCTGGATATACTGTGTCCTCTGTAATTCTCTCACGGTCCATCATCACAATCCACTGGAAATTGTGTTTTCATGCTGCATTACTTGCTCAGGGCGGATGGAACCACATTTGTCTTTTTTCTACTTTCTCAACCTGTTGTCCAGTACCTAACTAAATAACCGGTCACAGCATCGGACACGTGGTAGGCACTCAGTAAATGCTGTTTTTGTCTTGTTAATGTATAACTGATTTATAATACTGTGATGGTTTCTGTGTACCGCACAGTGATTCAGTCTTACATATATATATATATATATATGTAAGATATATATATATTCATTTTTAGGTTCTTTTCCTTTATAGGTTATTACAAAATATTGAGTATAGTTCCCTGTGCCATACAGTAGATCCTTGTGGGTCATCTTTTTTATATATTAACAGTGTGTATATATTAATTTCAACCTCCTAATTTATTCTTTCCCCATCCCCTTTCCCTTTTGGTAACCATAGGTTTGTCTTCTATGTCTGTGGGTCTGTGTAAGTGATAGCATATGATATTTGTCCTTCTCTGCCTGGCTTACTTCACTTAGTACAATAATCTCGAGGTTCGTCCATGTTGCTGCAAAGGGCATCACTTCATTATTTTTTATGGCTGAATATTTTCCATTGTATATATATGCAACATCTTCTTTATCCATTCATCTGTAGCTGGATATTTAGGTGTTTCAATGTTGGCTGTTGTAAATGTTAATAGTGCTGCAGTGCGTGTATCTTTCTGAATTATAGTTTTCTCCAGATAGATGCCCAGGAGTAGGATCTCAGGATCATATTATAACTCTGTGTTTAGTTTCTTAAGGAACCTCTGTATTGTTTTCCACTGTGGCTGTATCAGTTTACATTCTCACGATCAGTACTGTTGAATGAAAGAATGAATTAATCCATCAAAGTGTTATTTAAGAAATTGATTTGTACTTAAAATGCATATAATTTGATCCCTAGTTTGAGACCAACTGCTAATATCCTCAAAATTTTGAGTAATATTTGAAAAGTAAATCTAAAATATATTAAAAGTCTAACCTTTTTAATAAAGCAACTGAATAGCCTTTGTGAACTTTTCAAGATCTTAATTAGAAGAAACCATGGAGAATTTCCTTTCCATTTGTTAGACTTGAATGGTGAAGTTAAACTTGTTCTTTGTCACTATATAATAGTTTTAAAATTGAAAACATACCAGTCATATCTCAGATTCACTAGGTATGGCTAATATTTGTGAATCATAATGCCTTGTGAAATGAAATATTTTACACCCCATAAGTAAGTTAAAAAGGCTGGTAGACTCTAGAAATACCCACATAATGATATTGCCAAAGGAAAATTTCTTTAGAAAGATAAAACAAGTATTTTTACGTACATGAATCAGGGTGTAATGTTCAGTGCAAACCTTCATCCATCACTTTTTTTAAGATGACTTTTCATCTGTCTTCTTAAAATCACTTGCATGATGAAATTGATTCATTCTGTTGGTGACAGATTTTCTGTCAATTCAAGGACCAGTTCTTTCAGTATGTCTATTCTTTTGTTGTGTCAAAACATATTCAGAATCTCCAAGGCAAGGGAAATTGACATCTTTATTTATTTTTTTCTTTTTTGACATCATGCAAGAAAATGCTCCAGAACTGTGACTATTTTTAGTGCTTTCTCCTCAAGAGAGTAGAATCTGTTCAACTGTACATTGTTATACCTGTATCTTTGTTGAAAATAAGATTAATATTTTCATAGATAATGTATTGGGTGATATTTTTTAAATTTTTGGTGTACAGTCAATTTTTATCATTATTTGGGGCTTCTGAATTTATAAATTTTAGCTGTAATCTTAACTAAGATGCATTGCTTTAGAGAAATAGCTCTTCAGAACAGAAACTATGATGGTAATTTAAATTCTCTTCCTTCATTATTGATCTCCTGCTAATTGTTTTTTTTTAATGATTTTATATGCCAACTATACATGTAACCCTCTAATAATGAGAGTTTTATTTAAGTTTTATATTTTTTCCAAAACTTAATCATATATTATCTGGAAATACAATTGAAAATGAATCATCAAAAACTCTTTATGCCCAATTGTGATATATTTTAAAGAATACTTATGCATTCTTTTAAGAAATTCTTATGTATTCAAATATCACTTTAATATTTATTCTTATTATTACTCTAATGTTGCTTCTAGTCTCTTCTCTAAAGTCAGAATCTCGGAAATTCCTCAACCAAATGTTCTTGTGGGATTTATTTGGAGTGATCTTACCTAATTGATTTGCTTCCTTGAGCTACTGTTAATCTTGTAATCATCATAATATTTCTGTGTGAACCTGGCAGAAATGTGTTAAGTCCACAGGCTGTCCTAAGTGAGAGATATTTCTCAGACTTCTGAAAAACTATTATCCCATCTCTTGATATGTTTGATGGTCTCTTAAGCTTTAAGCAGGAAATTCTATCAGTGTGTTTTCCAGAGGCCTACAGAGGTTAAACTGTAAGTCCTGCTTTTAAAAAGTCTTACTACACCTAAGTTGAAAGGTCATAATGCAATCATTCCTGACTTGGAATTGAACATTCTTAACACAGTTACACTAGATTTTAAACCCTGTTTTCAGATAAAGTGACATTTTAAACAAATTGAATTTACAGAGATCTTTTAGAATCAAACCAGGTGCCTCAGTCCATGGAATTCTCCAGGCAAGAATACTAGACTGGGTGGCCATTCCCTTCTCCAGGGGATCTTCCCAACCGAAAGTCTCCTGCGTTACAGGCAGATTCTTTACCATCTGAGCCACCAGGGAAGCCCATAAAATAAAGTGACATTTTAAGCAAATTGCATTTACAGAGATCTTTTAGAATCAAGCTGTTATCTCCTGTATTTTTTTCTAAGCAAAACCCCAGAAATTTTGTTGGGTATTAACATGGATTAAATAAGACAAACAACAGAAAATAGGAAGCACATAGTGAGTACTCAGTTACCTTCTTTCTCTTGCTGGTGGCT